AAAATGGATTAGGAACATCTAACGTTGGTCAGATCGGTCCAAGAGCTTTTGGGTTTGAGTTTCAGTGAGGTCAGAAGTGACGTGCAGGTTTTTTTTTGTGACTGTTCTTACATGTGTGCACAGTATATGATGAAGGTGTGAGTGGCGGAGTGAAGTGAATGATTGCGGTGCCAAGAGTTGACCTCGTGTTGCTTTTGGTGCCCTTCTTGTAGAAGCTATTTGAAGTTCGACTCAGTCCCCTCAGATCTCACATGTGGCTCATATTTGCACCTAAATACCTCCCAGATCTATTGGCTTCCTTTGAAACGGATGTAAACATGAACCTCTTTGCCATTTATCTCGCGTCTTTATAGTGTCGCTGCTTTACGGGGGCATAGACGGGTATTTAAACGTCTCGGGGTGCAGTTATGGAGGCCTGTTTCTCTCATCACGGTCTGTGTGTGCGAAAGTGAGTTAAAAAAAAAAAAGAAAAACAAAGGCATCTAGAGAGATTTCACAACACTACTAAATTTGTTGACATTAACCAATTAGGTGAAATGCTAACTTTGAGCAAGACCCGAAAAAACAAAGAACAAATGCGGTTTGAAAATGACTTTTTGAGTGTCCTTGTTCACTCTCATTCATGAACGCGGGCAAAAAAAAATAAAAAATTCCCCAAACTTCGTGCTTGCTTGTCAGTTACACAACACTGTGGTGTGGCATCCTGCCCTGTTATTGTTAACTGGCCCAATCTCCGCTTGAGACTTATGGAGAAAACGTTGCTTCAGCTGATGACGGACATGTGTTTGATAGTTTCTCAGTCGCATTTCTGGGAATCTCCAGAGGTCTGTCAGACCAAATCAAATTGACTCCGTATCATTTTGAAAGATCTCAATGCGAGTAATTCCTTTGTTGAGTTAGGTCAATTTGATGCATTTTGCGTAATCCGTATTTTGGGTTTATTAAATCTGTAAGTTAAAGCCACGCTGCATGTAATTCAATCAGAATCATTCCTATGTTACTGATATGTAACCTGGCATTGTAGGTGACATATGTTAAGACATATGTAATGCATTGTCTCAGCCTGTTCTGTGTGTAGAAGTGTACGCTGGAAAAGAGATGAGGTTTGAGAGATCGTTTTTAGAGCATATTTTCTGAAGACTCATTGTCTGCACAGAGTCCCCTGCTGTTTGTGGTGTATTTCAACCCTGGGAATCAGCATGTACATTGTGGAGGGGAATCAGAGAAGAGAAAGGGGAGTGAAAAGAGAGACGCCGTTTCTGAGGAACAGAAGGAAAGCATATGTCTTCTTGTTGTTACAGTAATCAGTTAAAAAATGAGTCGCTGGTCACGGAGTAAACACTGAAAGAGCCTCATTCAACTTGCAAAGTTTAGAGTCGACAATGAATACTGTAGAACCGCTGCGAAGACCTGAGTGTCAGTCACCACAAATGGCAATTAATGCAAACTCAGGACAACAGATTCTACCACAAGAATAAAATTATCAGTGGGTTTTCAATGTCTTTGTGCTTTCTGGCTAAGAGTTAGATGAGAGGGTAGATACCACTTTCATGTCTGTATGCTAAATTTGAATCTACAACCAGGAGCTGTTTGGCTTAACTTTGCACAAAGAATCTAAATGAGGGGAAGCAGCCAGTCTGACTCTGTCTGAAGGGGAAATTTAGTCTACCAGCGCCTTTAAAACAAAAAAAAAAAACACATTATATCTTGTTTGTTTCATCTTTCTACTAAACCCAAGAATCTCTGCATGTGTTTTTTGCATATCTTGATCATCACTCGTCTGATCCACTTCATACTAGGTGAGTGTATCGCTGGGAAACCAAGGAAGTGCAGCAAAGAGTAAAGCAGATCAGATAAATGGGGGCTATTTTTGAGGTGTTTTTGTGTTTTTTTTGGTTTCCCCGGCCTGGCCTTTGGCTGGCTGTCGCTTCCTGTTGGTAGCCAATATCCTCACAGCCATCACAGTACGATATCACGATGATGCCACATTCGAAATTACATTGGAAGCATCTAAATGTGGACCGCAAGTGTGAAAATAACAGATTTGTAGTAGTGAAGGGCTACTTTTTGTCTAATGGCATCCTGAAGTCTTGTCGAGCACCCAAGACACACTGAGACTCCAGGCATTACAAGATGTCAACAACCCGAAAAAGTCCCTCCTGTCAGCTGATCCTGAGACTTACTGATAAGAAAAGACCCAACACTGATAAACGTCAGGCCAAAACTCCTTTCCAACCACTTATCAGAGTCAGCCAAATTATCAGATCATTAACCAGTGATGCCTATTTTCAACAATCTAGGAATCAAAACTAAACTCAAAACAAACCTTGCTGCTGTCTGGCCCCAAACCCTGGATATAAATTGGCAGAAGGTCTCTTGGCTGTCAGAGATCCAAAGCAGAGATATCCTGACTAAATACAGGCTCAATGACTACAGTGAAGCATGGGAGAAATGACAACCCAAAAAAGTCACGATTTCAATAGAGTCTGTGGTCCCTGCACAACAGGAGACGTACAAACAAAGATGCACATCTTCTTAAAATCTGACAAAAACAATAACAGGAAAAAGTGATAGACAGCAATGAAAAGCAACAGATTCTCGCTGCACAACATGTGACTGCACACGCTGAGGAACCCATAAATAAAACATTATGACAACTCGCTTGTCCTCGCCTCTTATACATAAGGCACACAGATACACAGCACATTGAGTGTTTTTCTTTTTTCTTTTCTTTTTCTTTTTTATCATCTTGTATATTTTCTTTATTCAATTTAATACACTATTTATTTTCTTTAGATTTTTTTCACAGCAATTTTTTTCATAAAAACAATAAAAACCCTCCATGCTTTGGCAATATTGTTAATCAGATATCCATGCAAATGAAGTAAATTGAGTTCTTATGTGCAGGTTTTGTAACCTTTGCACAACCAGCCTAACTGTTTCCTCTTCTTTGTAATCTTTATAATAAGTTAAGCTACCCACTTGGCCACTGTGTAATTCCCACAACTATTTATTTAAAGTTTACTAGTTGTATTCACCGCTATGTTCCATAAGCTACACCATATATACAGTAGACTCCTCCTGTGTGGAGCTAAACACACTGCATGGATACAGTATTTGTACTCAGACACACACAAGTGAATGATCCCAATAAGTGGAACCCATTTTAATTATCACAACCGTGAAATCATTACACATTCACTCATTTGTTCCTACAATCAGTGCACATGATGTCTCCTCACGGATGCACATGTGGGAAATCATGGGAACGCTTTCCCTTTTTTGGGTTCAAGACGTACTCAGATCTTGTACTGAAGTAAATGTACCAAACCCACAGCGTAGAACTACTCTGCTACAAGTTCAAGTTGTGCATTTAAATGTATAATTTGGTAAAAGCATTAGCAACAAAATACTTTTTATATGCCAAAATTAAAAGTACTTGTCCAAAAAGGCATATTTCAGAATAACGCATATTATTGGGTTCTAATTATTGATGCATTCATGTGTTCATCACTTTTTTGTTGGATCTGGTTGAAGTTGATTTATATAGTTTGTCTCTTGAATAGCTTGCAAATGTTCCCTCATGAGTCACTCATTTTTTATCTAATCGATAACATTGCATCATATTTATTTGTTGAATATATTTTATGTTATTAAAGTAAATCAGCAAAGTAACTAAGGTTTTCAAATAAATGTAGCAGAGAAAAAGGACAACATTTTTGCTTCTGAAAAGTGGGGGAGTAGAAGTATAAAGTAGCAGAAAATAGAAAAACACTAGTAATGCAAAATTGTACCAGTGCAATACTCAAGTAAATGTATTTGATTACTTTCCACCACTGCAATCAGAAATATGTGGAAAACAAAATAATGAAGCATCGATAATCATTCTTACATGGGTTACTGTGTAATGACGGCTACATAAACCCAAGTGGCGACGTCAGCTATGACGTATATTTCTTTTGTTTCACTGTTTCCTTTAATGTATAAAGGCAACACCTTAGAATAACAGCGCTTTTTTAAAAAAAAAAAAGCCTGTGATACAATGTTTCCTTCATTTCTTCTTGGCATCACGACTTAATGAATCATACGGGTTACACCTACAGTATACGCTCTACTTTAAATTAGCATCTATACACTTTCCTGCCTTTGCATATTCCAGCCACCCAGTCTGAAAACCACACATTTACACAGTATACCCAAATTACATTGCAACAGCACGGTCAAGCTTAGCGGGACTTCCCAAACTGAATCATATAAGAAAGGCTCACCTATGATTACCATGGTACCTACTCCTCTATGCTTGACTGCCTCCTGGCACTCACATTTAGCTTTCAGAAAACAACCTAAAATCATTTAATAGACCTGATTTGAGAGCCTTTGGGAGGGGAGCTGAATTTATGCCCCAGGGCCCTGGAACAAGGCAGGGAAAGGGAGAGATGGAGGATCACAGTGCAACAGTAAATAATGTTACAGTATGAATAATGAGCTCCCTCTGTGCCAGGGCCTCAACTGGACTAATGACAGAGACCTGTTTTAGATTAGGTCTTACAAAAACACGCACACACTTGCATACATGTGCATGAAGCAGCACACAGAAACACACACACTCTCAGGAGGGAGGTCCTATCAGTTTAGATAATCTGTTGCTCGCAGCAAAACCGAGCTCTGCGTTCTGCTCCGCCACAGCTAATACAAAGGAGGAAAGCAAAAAAAGGCAGAGGGCATCGCACACATCTTCAGTCATGCATTCATCCTTTCCTTTGAATTGTCAAGTATGTGTCATCCATTTCCCTCTGTTGGTCTCACCCTTGCCAGTGTTTTTCCTTCTTCTGAGAAGTTTGAAACTCAAGCCTACTTCAGCAGTGGGTCAGTTTTTCCAGAGCTACAGTTTGCAGCGTTTGATGCAGCAGCTGAGCGTTGGTTTAATTACCCATCGTGGTGCAAGTCTGCCATCTGCTGTCATTAGCAGGTTCCATTTTAAGAAAAGAGTCGCGCAACGATGCACACTTCAGTATTTATTTAAAAAGTTTTAGGTCTTCCTTTTTAAACTGCAAACATCAAACTCATTCTTTGGAGACAGTTTCATCAGTTGTCCTCTACACAGTAGCTTTTATAAATCTATTTAAGTTAAACAGGAACCGCTCACACTGCCCAGCAGATAAATGTGTAACAACAAATTATTCCAGTGGATATCTCAGGCTACTACTGCTACGTGGAACTTTAGAGGTCAGCGCCTTGGGACACGATTAAAAACACATCTCTAAGCATGCTTCATCATGTAAATTATCTACATTGGACAAACAGTGTTGTTATATATGCCATATTAGTGGATTAGTATTTTCTGATTCCATCGCTCAGTTAAGATATGGCGGTGTTAGGCAGATTTATTCCGCATAAAATGCATCTGCAGAAGGATGTGGGTATACACCTCGGCTGCATGACTGCTGCCAAAAATCTGTGATACAGGAGCTAAATCGAAGCCAAACACTTCGGTCCTAATTCATGTGCATTCAGCTGCTTCCTCCCAGGTCATTTCTAGGTGTCAAAGTGGCTCAGACTGTTTGTTGTTTCAGTCTCAGTTCACATCCTCCCTGCAGCTCCTGGCTCCGCTGGCAGGGAGAGCAGTCAGCAAAGCAGGGTGAAAGACGGTGAGAAGGCACCATAACTCTCAGTCTGCCTCCTCTTCCCATTCATCGCTTCTCCAGTTTTTTGAATCTGGCTTCTATAAAGGAAAAAAAAGCAGGATTCAAACAAACACAATCCCCAAATAAAACACAATCAAATCATGTTTGGCTCTATTTGTAGGCTGTAATGCAGAAATATTTAGGTTAAAAAAAAAAAAAATGGTGTGTGGTGTCACAGCGCCATCTGCTGCCTCAGGAGCTCATAGGTGCACTACAGGTGTACTGGACTACCTGTATTATTGCTCTGTGCCCCACATATCAGACAAAATAATCAGCACACAGAGGAAAAACACACTCATGCGCACATCGTCAGACTGGTACAGCTCTCTCAGTGGCACAGAAACACATGACACTCAAACATAGCAAAGAGAGCAAGCAAGAGAACCTCATGTAGACTCACAAGTGAGATTATTAACACTAATTTAATAAGTGTGTTTTAAAGTGTTATTTTTTGGCAGAACATTTGCATGCACTCTTCTACACTTCTGCATATTTGGTGTCTCACCCAGCTTCTTGGAATACGCATCCAGTTTGTAAGCAGCTTGTTCAAGTGCAGATACTTGCTCCTCAATCTGATTTATTTGGTCCAAGTACGGCTGTAGGCTAGCATCTGAAACAAATGCACACAACAGCCAAGAGTTCATGACGTTGTGGTAAAGTATGAAATGCACATAAACATAGCGATGCTATTTTTTTTTAAATGAAAGCTTTACATTCTGAACCAGGCAAACGATCTATGTATACTACATAAACTGTACATCTTACTCACACTTATTGTTCAGATCCTGCAGGTTACGGCTGATGTTGATGCTGATGTCCTTCATTTCCATGTATTTCAGACTAGTGAGCTTGTTCATGTTCTCCAACAGACGGTAATCTTCACAAGTGGCTGAGAAGGCAAGGAGATTGGGAGAATATACATGAGAGACCAGACAACCGTGAAACAAAGGGTAAGAATGAAGATGAGGAACAAAGAGCATCTGTAATTAATACTTTGACCAATAATCAAGCGTTAAATTGGCCAGAGTCCACCGGAGCTGAGCTCTGTCTCCTGATGTCCAAATCACGCCTTGCCAGAGCTCAGCCCTGTCTCCTTCATTATCTCACAGTCACCAATTCATACACAACTGTTGGACTTGGCTTTAAGACACTGTGACGCACTGAACAAACATATGTTAAAAGTTGCCTTTTTTTCTTTGACTTTATTAAATGTCAGCAGCACAACAGCTGCGTTCAGACTTTCTCCAAATTGAGAAAGAGGATGAGCGCAATTTATGCATTTGGCACAGCAGGTGACTTCAATATTCTGTCACGTTATTGTTACTGTGACTGTACATAGCCTTATTAACTTAAACGTTGTCCTGTGAAGTAAACAGCTGAGCTAATGCACAGATTCATAGTTTCTGCAGAGGGATTGTAGGGAACAAAGCAATCAAGCGGAGGAGGAATACAGCACCATAAAAGCTGTCGATATATTAATTTTCGGCTAATATTGTTTATTCTGGACATTTCTTTTAGGCTGTACAACAGAGTTATAAAGCATGCTTCTTAAATGCATTTTCTTTTTTTTTTTTTAAATGCCTGTCCCTGCAGTGTATTTGAGTATATGGCTTTATAACAGAGGGGGTGGTTTTACTGTCCTTTGGTATTTCACAGTCATTCAAGTGAATTTTTTTTCTTCAAATTCATTTAACTTGTTTCATTCAACTTATTAAAAAGGTACACAAACTATACACATAAAAGACAATGAGAATGAGCTGGCTCTTTCCTAGTAAAATCTGGCTATTCAGCTAGTTAGCCTAGATTTAATTTGAGATCTAATTGTGAAATGCAGCAGTTTAGCAGAAGTGGAAATAATTAAGTTTGTGGCACATTTAGGAAAAAAAAAACAACAACATTCAGAAAATTTAGATGCAACAGCATTTTTCCATAAATAGTTTTTGTTAAGGTTAATTATCCACATACACAAAACATAGTATGTACCACTTTTAACTACAGCTACTTTCAACTAAAGAAATAGTGTCTGCTGTATGATCTCTGCTCCCCCAACCTTAATAATCCCAATTTGGCTTTTGCTAAGAATGTAATTGCTGCATGTAATGAAAACAATGTGACACAGTGGGAATATGTTAATGAACCTGTTAATTCTCCTTGCAGGAAGACAGCCATCTTTTCAAACATGTCAGTGCACAGCTCGTTGATGTCAGGCTCTGCAGGCTCCACAGCCTCCTCTGCTGTCTCCACACCCCCATCACCTGAACACAAACATCAGAAGCGAAAATATGACAATACAGCTCATCAGTGCAGTTCAAAAACAACATGTAGCCACAATGGAAAATGCAATATGCCAGATACAATATAATACAAAAGTAATGAAGCTCACGGTGATAAATTACGACGTAATTAACACAGAAAAGGCAGAAGAATGGGGCATCTGTATGCTACATTAGCATTAGCAAGCTACGGAAGTGCAAAGACAACTTCGCTCACTGTTCGTGCCGGGTCTCCTGGAAGCGGCCGCCAGACTGTCCGCCGCATCCTCCGGGCCTTCCGCGGGGACGCTGGTGCTTGCAGCTGGGTTCAGAGCCGCCAAATGGGCCGCCGGTGCCTTGGAGATACTGTCCATAGCGGCGGCGTCGTCGCCAGTTGCAGCCATTTTGTTCCTGTTTTCGTCCCCGGTCACATGAGCTGAGCGCTCACGTGACGTCCGCCCGCCACCACACCGCGCCTACGCGCGCGCACGGCCACGCCCTTCTGTTGTTTGTAATCAGTGATTGATTCTCTACATTTGAGTTCGATGTTCAGGCGGCAGTTTCTGAATTAAGCATTTAGAAAACCCTGTTAACTTAGAAATGAGTATAATCTAGAGATTTAATTCGCATTTTAGGCGTGTGCACTTGTAAAATTAGAGATATGAATAGAAACTCAACATTTGTTATGTTTCTCCTCTAGTTTTTATTTTTATTTTATTTTTTTATAATTTCATTTATTTATTCATGTAGTTTAAAAACTGACAAACTATTGAAGCTTCTGGCAACATTTCTAATTCTGCAGTTTACTTATCAGTAAAGTGATCAGTAAAGTGATCACACAAGTCACCTTTGATTTAGTTTCTAATCATCACATTTAAAAAAAGAAAATGTAAGCTTAAAATATCTAGATAAACTTGAGATGTTTTGAATTGCAGCAGCAGCATGTGTTCTTTCTAAAACTAAAGAGAGGTCATTAGTCCAATTTAAAAGTCTCTGAACTTTCTATTAAATGTTCCCCATCATCAAACTAAGACATAAAGACATATGGAGATGCTGCATTCTGTAATTTACTAGTATTAGATATATTTGTTACATTATTATTATAATATTTTATTCCTTTTTTGATGTTAAGTACTTTGAGTTCACCTAAAGTTACCATTATTAGTATGAGCAGTAGTACTTGCTTGTCTGAGAAAATCTTTAAGCCAGTGTTATACATAGGCTGCACTCCTCTTCTCATGCTTAGCCAAATGTTTTATTTTTTTATTAAATTGTTTGTGTTGAATTTGTAAAATAAAATTCTTAAAAGTTAATTGTTTGGTTTTTTTTTTTGTTTCAAATTTAAACTAGAAACCTGGATCAATTTCGTCACAATAATTGCACTGTTACATTCAGTTATGATTTTCTACTGGCACTGAAGAGGCATGGTGTTACCAGCATGTATTTTAGACAACTGAGAGTGTGAATTGTACTTTAATATATACCAGGGCTGAAGTAATAGTAGCTGCATTTCTGTGATCCATTGTATGAACCACAGCTTGTCATCACAAGAGTAGACAGTTTGAACTGTGGCAGAAATAAAGGGCATAGAATAAGCACACAAAATGAATAAAAGGAATAAAACTAGTGTTCCCCAAAGAGAACAATGTAATAAAAGCTTGTCAATTAGTATCTCAAAATTTCTCACAATTATTTTATTTTTTATCGTGCATATATATTGTCCGTTTTCTTTGTCCCTCTTCTCATGAAACAGGCTGCCATCCATCATTATTACCCCCGACGGTGAAAATTATACTGCTGTTAAACAGTAATTAACCTTTAAAATCATTACACCATCCTGGATTCTTTAGCTGTGCGCGTTCCCGCTTGCGGCATGCAGTTCCTGGGAGGCAGAAATCTCCGCTACACCTGTGTCGGCGCTGTTGTGGGGGAAGCAGATCGTGACAGGCCAGTAGCGGCGGACTGTAAACATGGCGGCGTGCACAGCTACAGGGCTGTGCCGAACACCCCGTTACTATTAGTCTGAGAGACGGAGACACCCCGAAAATGGAGACCGAGGAGGAGCAGCACATAACGACGCTCCTCTGCATGGGGTTCCCGGACCCCGACGTGATACGAAAAGCGCTCCGGCTTGCAAAGAACGACATCAACGAGGCAGTGGCGCTCCTGACGAACGAAAGCCCCGGACTCGGGTATGGATACGAGCTGATGGAGAGCGGGCCTGCCCCCGGCTTGGGATCGAGCGGGGACGGGGAAAACAGCGGGCGGACCGGGACTGGAGGGTTTGACCCGCCTCCGGCTTACCACGATGTGGTGGACAGCGAGGTAAGAGCAGCCTCAGCGGGCATCATTTGAAGGGAGGAGAACATGGCTAAATGCAACTTGCTGGAGAGACTGGGCTCGCCCATTTAACTAGCTAAAGTTAGCAATGCTACATGCAGCGAGCCTAACGTGAGCTGTCAGAGCAGGAGGGGAAATAGTCTCCAGACCTACAGGATGGAGCATGTCCCTACTTTATACATGACAAGAGAATTATCTGTTAGCATTAATCCTAGTAGTTTAAATAATGGAGTGAAGAGGCTGCTGCTCTAAACTTACAAGCTAACCTAGCTAGCTAGTAGCAGGCTAGCAAGCGTTGCTTGGAAGTTAAACGCGCCAGTAACTGGACCAGGAGCACTGAAGCATCTCTCTGGAGGATTGCGGTCCTCTGGGAGCTGTGATAGCGTGTAATCAGTGCTATCAGTCAGTCTGCAGAGAGTCGCTCGGCTCTACTGAGCGTGCTTTTGCATGCGTTAGCCACCGTTAGCTGCTCGTGTGACAGCGGCAACCGTGCTCAGCTCCTGGGATTGCAGTCCACTCGAACCGGACTTACTGTAGAAGCGGTTTCGCAATTTCTTTGGCATACGTGGCCATTTTGATCATCCGTCTGTACACATTCTCAGCTGTCATCTCAATGACAGTTGTTTTCTCATTCAGTGAGCATTCGTAAATAGCGTGTGTGAGCACCTTAAGGGCCAGTCCTTGGTCCTCCGACAGCAATTAACCTACAAGTGCTTTCACTTCGTCCTTGTTTGCAGTGTTTATGTGCTGAGCTGCACTGGCTCCTCATGAGTACCTGTCTACATGAGCTATGGTTGCACTGCTCTGGCTGACACCTTGAGGAATTCCAGGTTGCTTTCCTTCAACAACTTGACCTCAAACCTGTTGCCCTCCTGGATGTCCAAAAAAAAAACCTTGTAGGTGCTCCCAAAGGCAGTGCTGTCTTTGGAAGTCAAAAATCGCTTAGTTTATGAGATTATTGATTAATTGATTAGGAAATTTCCACCGCTTGTTCTGTCCCTTAGATGATAATGCTGTTTGAGTTGAACTGAATATGTGCAAATAACAGTTCACCAGTAGAGCTGCAATGATTAATCGATAAGTTGTCAGTGCTTAATTGAATCGACAACTATTTCAAAATCTGCATAATCAGTATAAGTATTTTTTCAGGAAATAAAACGACTAAATCCTCTAACACCAGCTCATTAAATGTGATTATTACCTGGTTTCTGTCCTCCTCTATGACCTTAGACTGAATACATTTGGGTATGGACAAACAAAACATGTATGTACATCATCTTCGGCTTTGGGAAACAATGATCAACATTTTAAACCATTTTGTGACATTTTATAGATCAAACAATTGATCGATTAATTGAGGCAGTAATCAAGAAGTTAATCAGCAATAAAAGTAATCATTAGTTTCACCCGTATTGATTAGTGTCTTTTAGTCATTTTCTGAACATCTGTTTTCTCTCGTTCTTTATCACCATCCAAATTCATTGCAGGCTGTTTTAGTAAGTCTCATGCAAACATTTGGTATTTAAAGTATGTAGAAATCATGCAAAGTTGTAGATCAATGAAAATAATAAGCCTGTTTTTTTTAGATGTGCTAATAATGGTGTTGTTGCAGACCTTACAGAAAGCTTGCACCCAGTGACCCCTGCTCTCCGTTTATCCAAAACCCTCCCCTAAAAAAAAAAAATCAAGTGTTTCTCCTGAATAACATGTCGATATACTGGTTTCTATACGCTACAGGCAGAAATGTCATGACTGAACATTTCCATTTTCAAACTGCAGCATACTGCTGACAGTCTGGGATTCACACATTCAGGGTTTCATACCTGATGGATTTAAAGAACTAATCCTGCCACATTGCAGGATCGAGCTTTCCGTGTCATCCTTCTTCTTCAGAACCGGTTCTAAATAATTAATTTTGATACATGGAGATTAGTTTCTAGCAGTTTAATCAATGAGCAGAGAGGGATATGCCAAAGCGTCCCCTGAAAGAGTTCCTGAAAATACTTTTCCTGTATGTTCATTTGTCAGAGAAGTCTAATTTAAACCCAGTTTTCCATCCAGACTAAGTTGTTTAACGATACACACGTGAGCCATAAGTGTAATGGCTTCATTCACCTGTGTATATATGTAACCAAAACATTTACTGAAATTGTATCTGTCATGAAACGGAGAAATTAACAAGTGTCATTCCCCGCGTAACGTTATCAGTTCGTAAACATGCAATGTATGGAATGACACGGGTGAAAGTGATGTTTCCTCTGCTCTCTTCCTGTGTTTGCTGTATTTATGCTTATGAGGCCTGTCATAGGTCTTTGGCCTCATGTTATGCTCCTAAATATAGCCCTGCAGTCTCCCTGACACACACAAACACGTTGCAGTTTTTGCAGGGGGTTCCCAGGAGGGTTGCGGGTGCATAGTAACAGAGTGGCGCTAAGTTACCTCATCGTCCGGCCAAACAACACACACAAGCGTACAGTGTCGTTGAGACATGCACCTTTCCCCCAAAGCCTTTAGCTCTAGACACAGTGGGCTTAGATTCATGCTTGATGGTGATTCTTGTAATGTTTTCTGCATTTTATTGAAAGAGAGAAAGCTTCCTTTCCCTCCTCCCCCCCCTCACGTTGTCAGTCTTATTAAAAACAAACAAATCAGTTTAAGTTTAATCAGCAGTGAGTTATGATATCTGCCGGCAGTGAGATGTCTTGTCTTAGTTGGTCTTTGAACCTGCTATTTTCTAAGATCTGTATTAGTTTACTCTCCCTCCTTCCTCCCTTCTTCTCATCCATCAATCTGTCATATCTGATTTTCTTAGAAAGGGAAGAGATGAAATACGATGCTTCTCTATTGCTTCCTCTTTCCTCCCTCCTGTTCTCCTCTCACTTATAGACCTAATGTCCAGTTATCGCTTTTTATATCGCATGTGTGCAGCACAGTGAAGCATGCGCTGAACACATGAACCGTCACGTATGCTAATATGTGAAGATGCAATCAAAAATGCTAAGACTTGACCTAACTATATTTTGCTGTATTAATATTTATACTGTGCAGTATCCACGGGCGAAATGGACAAACGTGTTGTAATAGTTTGGATCAT